CTCCTCTCAATCACCTTCCCCACCTGGACACCTGGCCACATCCTCCTCCTCCTCCTTTTCTTTCTTGTGTGGGACGATGGCATCACTGGCAAGGCTCACTAATTGCCCCTCGCTAATTGGCCTTGGATTGAGTGGCTTGCTTGGCCATTTCAGAAAGCTTACAGTTCAGCCTCAATCCCAAACTTCCCACTGATTGGAACGATCCTGATCCGATCCTGCTGGACAACTGATTCAGGAATTTGCCTGAACCAGATGCAGCCCACTAAACATTCGGGAACTCTTCCTCATTCCTGTGTTCACCACTTGTACAGCTCTCCCTCACGCCCTCCCTCTCCTTGATCGTTTACTCGTTCTTTCATGGGACGCGCTGCCTGGGCCAGCATTTATTGCCCATCCCTAAGTGTCCCTGGAGAAGGTGATGGTGAGCTGCCTCCTTGATCTGCTGCAGTCCCTGGGTTACAGGGGCATCCACAATGTGGCTAGGGAGGCAATTCTAGGAATTTGACCTTGCAACCACTGGCAGGAACAGTGATATAGTTCATGCTGGGGGCTTGGTGGGGTGGGGGGTGGGGAGGGGGCGTGGTGGGGGTGGGGGGTGCGGGGAGATGAAATTTCATGCTGCTGGTGTTTCTAATGCATTTGCTGCCCTTGCTGTTCTCGGTGGCAGAGGTCATGGGTTTGGAAGGTACTATTGGAGGAAATGATGCATTTTCTCACCAATGGCCCAGCCTATCACTGTAACTCACCCTGTCTCTGGGGTATTTGTTATTTTACACATAAACCCCAATCCCCAACTGAAATGTCTGAGTGAGACTCCATTCCTGTGTATCAGTTATTTTACATATAAACCAACAAAACCTCTTGCTGCATTCGCTGCCTATTATTATGGTTTAATTTGTGTTTGTATAATTACAGGCAGTGATTATCCCTGGATTACTAGGAAATAATTCGCACAAATCTGACCAACTGCCATCAGGACTTGCCTGCTTTGCTCACTCATACAATTAGAATTTGCTTTTCCAATTTCTAAAGCAGCCTGTTAATGTTATCTTGACTGGCGATATCCCAGTGTAATGTGAAGAATGTGATGGCAGGTCTGAACACAGTGAGTGGATAGCCTCTGCAGAGTCTAACTTCCTGTCTCTCCCCCACCGCCCCAATCTCAACATCCCCCCCCTGCAGCACTTGGCTCAACTCTCACCCATGCTACCCTGCCCACAGCCAATGAGAGGGAGAGAGCTACACACACCCACCCAGCCGAGGATAAGGGTTGGGAGTAAGAGCGGTGGGAGTTGGGACAGGCTGCAGCTGCTCTTTGTAACTCTCTCCCCCTCCCACCACACCCCCTCCCCCCCACCCCCATCCCCCAGGCTACCACACCCCACTACAGTCACTGAGTTCGAGCTGGCAACAGTTTACACTGTGCTTCCATGCTCTGTGGACTTAACCCCTTCCTACAACTGCTTCACTCATCCCTCATCAGGCACATTTCAAGGAAAAGGACATGAGGGGCAAATTTTTTACACAGAGGGTGGTTCGTGTGCGGAATGAATTTCCTGAGCAAGTGTACAATTACAACGCTTAAAAGACATTTAGATAAGTACATGAGTAGGAAAGGTCTGGGGGGATATGGGCCAGGAGCAGGCAGGTGGGACTAGATTAGTTTGGGATGATGGTTGGCGTGGATTGGTTAGACTGTTTCCGTGCTGTATGACTCCACAACTCTATGAGTGGGGGTGTGGAGGGGAGGGGTGGGGATTCAGAGAGTGAAGGAGTGACTGAATTTCAGAAGAGGCTAAAATCTTTGTTCACTGTGATGGTACGCAAATAACTGGAGCCTGAGTAACAGTGAGTCAGAAAGTTTGACCAACGCATGGAGTCCGTAGCTTGGAATTCTGGATTTGGCAGTCAATGGCATATCTGTGCCAGGGCATTAGGAGCCTCTTACCCTACAAGACAATTCATTTCCCTCTGACATCAGCTAGTAAAACAAGCAATATACGCGTGGGAAGATCACTGAAGTTACCAGACAATGCAGCAGTCTACAAAACGCACCACTACAGCTCTATGCTCCATAGTATGAAATGATTCATTCTTATGCTATCTCTATCTTCACAAGCATACCGATTCTCTCATCGGACTTTGTAATACAAACGTCTTCGCAATCATTTCTTCTCCCACTTTCATCTCAGATTTGAAGCCCTGCCTCTAGCAGGCTCTGTGTTTTAACATGCACAGCACCAGCCCTTGAGGACCAGATTTGAATGTGGGTGGAATGTATGAAATATGCAGGAGGCTTGTAATAATCTGCAGGGTTTTTGGAAGATGGGGTACATTGCATCTTCTCGAATACCTCAGGGCTGAACACATTAATGTTACTGTTAGCCACTGGGTGTATCACATTATTCAATTGGAGCATTCAGTTCCCAGAATTTGTATGAACTTGAATTCAATGTAAAGCACAGACCTATGTTCACATGAATATACAAAGGGAGCTCTGCTCTATTCACTCTAGATTATGCAATTTCCTCATCTGGACTAATTCACCTGAAAAGATTTAGACAGTCTTTATCATGTAATTGGATTCTAATGTGTCTAAAGATCTTGTATCCCATTGACCACTGCAAAGGTTAATCACACTTGGTGTAATGTAAGGTATTAAAAATTGTATATTTGCCAGTTAACATTTCATTTCATATTAACCTGATCAGATCCATTCACTATTTTGAATATAACTCAAATCACACCAATTCAAGAGCAAAACCAACAGTTACAGTGCATGAAAGGAGAATGCCGATTGATTGGCAATGACTCTGATTGGTAGAGGGTTTTCCATGGAGAATGCACCAGTTTGTGATGACTGACAGTTAACTGCCAGGCTTTGTTTGCATTTTAAGGCTGACTCTGATTAGCTAGGTCACTGCCCTGTGAAATGAACCAGTGAATGGATGTTTTTGATTCTGTTGAGTTGAAACAGGACCAGGGTAACTTTGCATGCGTTCATGCTTCTGTGTGCAAGAGAGTTTACCGCTTTAGAGATATCTTCATCTCATGCTTTGTTGAAAGGTTCCTACTACTTGTATAACGTAAACGCCCTGTGTAAACATGTCACACTGTAATTATGTCTTCCCACCAGTGGTGGTGCTCTGTCACCTGCCTGCCTATATCTTAACCACTGACCATTTCCCTGTTGCCCAAATTAGCTCAGTCTTTGCTTGAACTACGATGAACAAAGAACTGGAAGTATTTTAGAGAAATAAAGGCAAAATTTATAGCTATAAAATGGGAAGTGAATGACACCAACACATCCTGAAACACCCATTGCCATTCTCCTCATTTTTTTAATTCATTCATTTTGTGGGATGTGGGCATCGCCGGCTGGGCCAGCATTTATTGCCCATCGCTAGTTGCCCTCGAGAAGGAATCTCTTGAATCTGGGATAACAAGGTGTAGAGCTGGATGAACACAGCAGACCAAGCAGCATCAGAGGAGCAGGAAAGCTGACATTTCGGGTCTTCACCCTTCCTCAGAAAAATCTCTTGAATCTCCTTGGTTTGACCTCTGTCTACAGCATCTTGAAAATCATTCCAGAAGCCAAGTTTCCACCCTGATAGTCTTATGTTGTCCAATCAGAAGGGATTGGATGCATTGGAATTCTGCACCGCGGAGGGGAGTTGGAGGGAATTGTTAAATTAACAATGAGAATTTGGGATTACAAACAGAAAATGCTGGAGAAAACAGTGGAGAGAGAGGGCAGAGTTAATGTGTCCAGTTCGCTATGACTTTTCTTCGGAATTGGAACCTGGGAATAGAAACGAATGTGGAATTCATGGTTCAAATTTGATGGAATCAGCCAAATGCTGACCTGAACTGAAAGCAGACATTGCAGGGACTGTACAGCTGGAAGGAGATGTGAGCTCTGGTATTAATTTGCACATAGGAAAGGACATTGTGTGGCGGAAGCTGAAAACTTCTCTCTGATACCCAGTGACACAGCTGGCCTTGGATATGAAATCTGGGAATGTCCTTAACTGACAACACTGGGGAAATGGGCTTAAAGGGAATATCAATCAAATCCTGCTTGCTGTCACACGCTGGTAAGCAGCAATGACAGCAGAGCAGCAGTACATGTGGAAACGGGGCAGCACTGTAAACTGGTGTCCCTGTGTGTGTGTGTGTGTGTGTGTTTGAAGGAGTTGCTTCGCTCTGTCACAACGTCTCCTGCTCGCACAGCACTGGAACATGTTGGGAATGCTGAATGAATGAATGCAAGGAGGCGGCAGATTTGCAGCTACGTATTAACAGCTTGGAGCAGGCTGGAAACCAGCCAGAGGGAAAAATAAACTTTCCAAGGGAAAAGACTCTATCCTGGGGTCAACGACTAACCAATAGATCGGCAGCGATTAGCATATCACACCAGAGCGGCTAGAAAACGTAGAAGGAGGAAAATCCCAGAGTGAGAGAGCTGCAAGTAGAGAAGGATCGTACACGAGAAACACTGAGAGACACAGTCACAAGGAGAGTTAGAGAAAGTGAGAGAGATTCAGACAGGCACAGAGAGAGAGAGAGGGGGGGAAACAGACAAACAGAGAGAGAGTTAGTGACACACAGTGAGGGGAGACAGAGAGAGAGATTCACACACGGGCAGACAGACAGGGAAACAAACAGGGAGAGGGAGCAAAACACAGGGACGGAGAGACAAACACAGAGAGAGATACACACACACATAGATACAGGGAGAAACAGACACAGGTAGAGGCACACGCAGAGAGGGAGAGAAACACGCAGACGGGGAGAAGCAGAGAGATAAAGACAGACTCACAGAGAGAGACTCAGACACAGGGAGAGAGAGAGACCTCTCAGATACAGGGAGAGACAGACAGAGAGCGAGAGAGACACAGGGAGAGAGATAGGGACACAGACACAAGGAGAGACAGAGAGATAAGGACACAGGGAGAAATACATAGAGAGACAGACAGACACCGAGAGGCAGAAAGAGATAGAGACACAGGCACAAGGAGAGACAGAGAGAGATAGAGACACACCCAGAAACACAGGGAGAGGCAGATGAGGAGAGAGAGAGACAGAGAGTAAAGATATAAAAGAGCTCCACAAGAGTCGGGAGCAGACATCTCTGCCTGGGATCTGTAAAGACAGCTGGAGTAGCTCACTCAGAGAGTTCTGAGGGAAGGAAAGTTACTCTTTCAAAAAAGAATCGAACCGAAGTGGAAAGCCGGCGACCAATGGCAGGAGCAGGTTACTTTGCCTGGATTTGTATCTTTCTGCCTACGTTCACCGGAGTGTCAGCGAACCAACCGTCCAGTCCCACAGGTAAAGCAATGACCGTGGTTCATTATTTCATTCAGCACCTCAAATCATAGCACTCAAACGTGAACTTCAATCAGCGTTGTGTTTTCAATGAAGCTTATTCGTAGATGACATGGGTTAGAAAAGATCAACATGTTAGAGAGTTTGTTGTTGGTTGTGCAGCAGCAGCAGGTGGTTGACGTCTCTGTCTGTTTTCACCGATCCCTTATCAATACAGAGTTGCTGACAATGTCAGGGGCTGGCGTTGACCGATAGTAACCTCAGTCCTTAGAGCGTGGAACTGTACAATCTCCTCCCTCTGCTCAGCGGCAGCTCTGAGATTGACAGGCGCATGATGCCTGAGATCCACAACTCAGCCTGTACAACCTGGGCAACACTGTTACACCTGCAGCACTCACGTCCAAATGTAAATAACAAGAGTCAGTAAACAAAATATAAAACTGTAACACATATCAAACTTTTAACACTCATAGAATGGCAACCGCAATACAGTCACCTTTCAAAGTGTAAACTTCAACAGTCTTATAAACTGTAAGTTGCAATCTGTCCCAAATGTGTTCACCCTAATACAGTCACGTCAAAATAAATTGCATTGCAGCCTCAAAACAGTAATTTGTAGTGCTAACACATCTAAACTTCATCCGCAAAAGTTCCAAGTAATGTCATAAATCAAACTGTAATGCATTTATACTTCAGCTATAGTAAACTACAATCATTCTAAACTTCAATACATTCACACCTGAAGGTATAAACCACAAATATAACAGTAAACTGCAACACAATTATATTTCTAACCAAACTGAAAAACAAATATGCCTTAGGAGAAGCTCTAAATTGCTAAACAATCACTTGTAACTGTTAGCTACTGTAATACAGTCAGAGTTGCACAATAGGCACACCAACTGTATACTGCGAAACTGTTACATGCCTAACAAAAGTTAGTCACACTATTAGAAAATCCTAACACGATGAGGCAGAATTAACATGGTTTTATGAAAAGGAAATTAAGTTTTATAAATCTATCTGTGTTGTTCAGGGTTTACCTAGCAGCACTGATAATGGGCAATCAGATTTCCATTTCAAAAGGCATTCAATGAAGTACCACACAAAAGACTGTGCAAGACAAGGGCTCCTATGTGGTATTTAATTATCACAGAGGATTGATTAAAGGGTAGAGAGCAGCGTCAGAATAAATGGATCACTCTCAGGTTAACAGCTTCTCTCTGGAGGTGCAGCTGCAATAAAATAATGTTTAATCTGAAATAATTGCATTGCAATGCTTGATATTATGATCCATGGTTAAATAAACAACTGACTTAAAGCACTCAGCTATAATATTGACGTTGCAAACTACCATCTCAAATGGCCAATCCTACTTTTGCATCATCCTATTCAGTTCACAATTATTAACAGTGAGATGCTCAATTCAATTAGTTTGAAGTTTCAGAAATTTTTTTATATGCGAGAATCATAAACTCAATCGATCATGATGAGAACAGTGGAAATTCAAACACACTGTAGCTTCTCCAGAATGGAAAGGTCTTGTTTGAATTGGAGGGTTTGAGCTATGGGGAGAGGCGGAATAGGCTGAGGCTATTTTCTCTGGAGCTTCGGAGGCTGGGGGCTGACCTTGTAGGGGTTTATAAAATCATGAGGGGCACAGAAACAGTGAATAGCCAAGGTCTTTTCCCCAGTGTGGGTGAGTCCAAAACTAGAGGCCATAGGTTTAAGGTGAGAGGGGAAAGATTTAAAAGGGACCTAATGGGCAGCGTTTTCACTTGGAGGGTGATGCATGTATGGAATGAGCTACCAGAGGAAGTGATGGAGGCTGGTACCATTGCAACATGAATAGGAAAGGTTTAGAGGGATATGGGCCAAATGCTGGCAAATGGGGCTAGATTAATTTAGGATATCTGGTCGGCATGGATGAGTTGGCCCGTTTCCATGCTGCACAACTCTATGACTCTAAGTTGTCTGGAAATTATTTGAGCAGATCCAGACAATTCACAGCAACTTTACTTAGTGAGTGAAAACGTGGAAGATATGCTATTTGGATAAGTAAAACAACCTTTATTATCACCTTATAATGTTTCAGCTCTGTTTTCTGCTTCAGGTTAGTAGATGGTGTGTTGTGAAACCATGCTTTCTGAAAATGACTTTATGAATTTACGAACTTGAAACCACAAATTGAATTTTAAAATGACCCAAACTGTACTGTAGTGCCTTGGATCACAGTCAAAGATGGGTGTACATTTGCATTATGGTGCTTTCTACTTTCTAATGTCATTGCTACCATCTGCAAAGCTTCACTAGGAGCAATCGAAGGGTATGTATAAGGGCCATCTGCTACCCAATAGCAAAGTATTCAGGTGCTCAACTGGGTGAAGTGAAGCCATTGTGCATAATTACTTGGGTTCTGGCTATGAAAGGTATTTTGTTATCCAATCATGTATACCAGGCACATGGAATCTACTAGACATGACCATATTTGGGGTAACTGGGCAGTAGAAGAGAGAGACTAATGTGACAAGCTAGCTAAGTCTTTCCATGTTTAATGACCTGTCTTCTCTGTAGACCAGGGCAAACACAGGAGTTTCTGTAGAGGTAAGGATCTTGTGTGGCACGAGTTTACCTCCAATAGGGTGTAACACAAAACAAAACTGGGCGTGGATGTTGTGGTTTTGGAGAATCCAATACACAGTTTATTACAATTAATTATTATTTGCATTTCTCAGCCACATACAAGCCTGAGCCTATTTTTCTTTTCGTTCAGTTGTGGGAGGTGGGCATAATTGGCTGGGCCAATTACTGTCCATTGTAATTATACAGGAACAATGTGGATTGTTGGTGCCATTTCAGAGGGCAGTTAAGAGTCCATATTGCTGTGGTCTGGAGTCACGTGTAGGCCCAGACCTGGTAAAGACAGCAGGTTTCTTTCTATAAAGGACATTAGTGAAGCAGATTGTTGTTTTAAACCACAATTGACGGGGATTGGAAGGTTATCATTAGGCTAGCTTTTAATTCCAGATATTTTTAATTGAATTCTCATTTTGCCATTTGCATTGTGGGATTGAAAGCCAGAACTGAGAACATTGGCCTGATAGCCTGGGTTGCTAGTGCAGTGACACAACACAACCCACACTTCCTGCAATGAAATACAGCCAATTACTATTCCCATTCAGCTAATCCTGTCCCATCTCTCCAGTTTTCTACATGCCCTGCCACATTCATCCATTGTCTAGTCACCCCCTCTCCCTCTACTACTGTGCATCCTAACATTGAAAATCAATTTCATCACCACTTCTCCATATATCCCATCTCCTTGTTCAGTGAAACCATTTTGGCTCCTACACCAATCCATATTGACTTGCTTACTTACTTCAACCTGGTCTCCTGCCCTGAAATTATCCTATCACCCTTTCAAATCCTGCGAGCGTATTTATTGCAACACCATGAGGAATTGTTCTTATCTCTTGACAGGTCCTCAAACTGAAAAGGACTACAGCAAGGTCCAGACAAAGTTTTCCCTTCGAACTGCCTTGGATCCAGAGGAGGATTCCTGCTACTTGATCCCTGGCCAGCTGGAAACCATCAGACAGTGCAATTTCAACCAAACTGCCAGGACATTCTTGGTCATACATGGATGGACGGTATGTTGGCTCTTTAAAACATCCACCAGCATTCTTTGTGTGCGTTCAGAAACTGGACTTGTTCATGTCAGACACATTAAAGAAATACACATTCATAACAAATATTGTCACAATAAACTATAGCATTAACTGGAACTTAGAGGCCAAAGGTGCACAATTAACCACAAAACACTCCCCACAATCCGATATGAACACTCCCCTCGCGCATGCTCCTGCTCAAACACACTCCCTACAATCTGATATCGGCACAGTGGCTCAGTGGTTAGCACTGCTGCCTCACAGCACCAGGGACCCGGGTTTGATTCCATCCTCGGGTGACTGTCTGTGTGGAGTTTGCACATTCTCCGTGTCTGTGTGGGTTTTCTCCGGGTGCTCCGGTTTCCTCCCACAGTCCAAAGATATGCAGACTAGGTGGATTGGCCATGCTAAGTTGCCCATAGTGTTCAGGGATGTGTAGATTGGGTGGGTTATAGGGGGGTGGGTCTGGGTGGGATGATCTGAGGATCGGCATGGACTTGTTGGGCCGATGGATCTGTTTTCACACTGTAGGGATTCTATGATCTATGACGCTCCACTCAAACACCCCCCACAATCCTATATCAACGCTCCCTCAAACACACCCCATGGAATTCCAATATTAACATTTCTCCATGTTGGGCTGACCCATTTTGACCGTGTTTTCCAGCCATTACTCACATACTGGTTTAAACAGTGTTTTGGAGCAAGCCAGTAATGCCATGTTTATTATTATGTTTGATACACACGCTGTCTAGGTCACAGGAATGTTTGAGAGTTGGATTCCGAAGCTAGTCCTTGCCTTGTACGAGAGGGAGGCAGACTCCAATGTTATTGTGGTCGATTGGTTAACCCGAGCTCACCAACACTACCCAGTTGCCGCTGACAACACGAAACTGGTTGGCCATGATATAGCCCACTTTGTTGAGTGGTTGGAGGTGGGTCTGCTGTTTGCACATTTTCTGCGTTTCCCACAGTCAGCACTTTGGGATCTCACACTGATGCCACAACTAGCAACTGGACCCAATGAGTTCAGCGTTTGCTCAATTTGCCATGACTCCTGTACCTACTGTGCACCCGGACTGACAAACATACCTTTAGATCTCACTACAACCATTAATTAACAAATAAACAACAGACTGATGATTACAGGACAGTAATACTGTGGATGTAATTGTAGTAGAAGGGAGACTTGCATTCATATAGTGCCTGTCACCTCCTCAAGTCATCCATCCCAAAACACTTTTGCAATCAATTAAGTGGTTCTAACGTGTGGTTATTTTTGCCTCAGGCAGTGCTTCACGAGCAAGGATGACTTGCTTTTTCTGGTTTGCTGGGTTCAAAGGGGGCTGCTTGGTCCATGCTATGCCACCCCGAGGGATAGTTGCTGTTTGAAGGCCCAAGCCTGGACAGGCCGCTCGGAGGTTTGTGCACTCCCCCTGGTGGCTCGTCTTTGCCTCTGCATATTTCCTACAAAGTCTCTCAATGGCTTGGCCACCTTCCTGAATGAACCTTTCCAATTTTGGCCAACCACAAGCCAATGGGAACCACTGGGATATCTGACCTCTTCAGGAATGTTTTTTTGAGGACATCCCCAAAGTGTTTCTGCTAGGGTCCTGCTCCAGGAGTCTGGTTTCGGATATGTGCCGGACGCACAGGACTGGTTTTGTGGATTACTGCTTCATTGCTGGGTAAGTTGGCACGGGACAAAATGCTGTTTTTAGACCATTGTTCTTGGCACCAGAAGGCAACACTGATAGGACTTGGGCAGTGCCTGTCGTAGATCATCCCAATCTCTGAAGTTTATAGGAGCACAGAGTCTCTGCTGCCCACTTGGTCCTGGGTTTGAGGTCCTGGTTCTTCAGTACCCTTTCTCTCAGTCAGCCATAGACAAGTTGGAGGTGGCAATGACGAGCTCCATCATCTCTGTCCGCCAACGTCGTGAGGAGGCTCCCAAGGTAGAGAAAGTGGTTCATGTTTTTCTGGGATCACACCATTGACCATGACCCAACAAAAAGGAATGAACATGCAGAGAGCCCTAGTTAGACCCACTGCGAACAGTTTTAGGTGCTACACCTTGGGAAGAATATATTGGCATTGGAGGGAACGCATTGTATGTTGTTGTAGTCTGTCATAATCAATCTAAGGATATACTTTCCGGAATTTATAGATGGTTTGGTCAAAGATTTCAGCATAACAAGGTAGTGTGTTTAAAATGGTTAGGGAGTTTCATTCTGGAGGAACATAACAGCTCAGTCTTCAAGGAATGGAATTATGATCACATTCTCATATAAAGCCTGGGAGAAATTTGGAATTCTCGCCACAAACAACATTTGATAAGTGATTGATTGTTATTTTTAAGACTGAGTTTGGGAAAAGATTGAAATTAAAGATTGTGAAATATCATTAGCTCCTCAGCTGGAAAATAAAAATTAATGAATCATAGTCTTTAGCTAGGGAGGGTGATTATTTGTTAGCTTCCCATTCTCAATCCCTGTTTTCCTTCCAAATGGGGGCACTGCTCTGTGTGAGGATGAGCCGCAGCGTCTGAGGGGGCGGCATCTGAGGGGGCGGTGTCAGAGCTGGTGATGTGTTGGGTCTGAGGAGTATTAGAAAGAAAAAGAGATCAGGTCTCTGAGCCGATCATTCTCTCAGCCGGCTTCCTTGACCAAATGTTTGGTCATTCCTATAGTGATGGCTGGGGCGAGTCTGTTGCTGGGGCATTACTAGAGTCATTCTGGAGAGATTGGATTTAGCTTTACAATAGTCAAATACAGGCCCTGATTACCAGAAAGTTCAATACAGAGGTTCCCATGTAATATAATGGCCAGCTCATGCTGTTACTGCAACTGACCGAGTGACACACACTGTCCAGTTGGGCACAGCTGACCCAGAGAGTGACCGCCTGGGGACAGCTGACCCAGAGAG